AACAATACCAAACCCTTTAGGTCTGGTAGGAATGTTAGGAGGGACCTCATTTAAAAAAAAAAAAGCATGTGGTTTCCCCCAAACGTCATACCAGACCCTTAAGGTCTGGTAAGAATTTTAGGATGGAACTTATGTAAAAAAAACAAAAAAAGGACGTGGGGTTTCCCCTCAAAGTCATACTAGGCCCTTAAGGTTCGGTAGGAATTTTAAGGAGGAACCCAACCCCCTTGCCCTCAGCACTGGGAGGGTGCTTTTCCAGGGTCGCCCCTGGAAAAGCACCTTGTCCCCATGCCGATGGGGACAAGGGCCTCTTCCTCACAAGCCCTGGGCCGTTGGTTGTGGGGGTGCGGGCAGGGAAGCTTATTCACATCGGGATATCCCTTTAATAAAGGGGCACCCAGATGTTCCCCAGTCCCTTGTGAATGAGTAAGTAGTACTTGAAATTGTAAATGAAAACAACAGACTTTTGAAAAAAATCCTTTAATAAAAAACAAACAAACAAAAGACATGTTTTTGACAAGTCTTTTATTTTTTTTAAAAATTGATCCACCGACGTAATCCAGGGTCAATCACAATGTCCAGTGTTGTCCACGACGACGACGACTCAACAAAATTTTACAAAAAATAGAAATCATTTTTAAAAACCGGATGTCCGTCGACCCGTCCGCTCGCGACGAACTTCCGTCGCAGAATGGCATTCTGACAGATGTTGGAAAAATATAAACAATTGGGTGGAGCTAGCGGTGACAGCTAGCTAGCTCCGCCCAACTGTTTACAGTTGTACGGCACATGACAGCCATCATGACTTTGCCAGATCATGGCTCTTCAGTGCACTGTGCCGTGATTGGGCAAAGTGTTGCACCTGACCGTGTGTTCGCTGAACACACGAACTAGTGATGTTCGAGTCGAAGGCTGGTGTCAGGTAAGGTGGAGTGAGCTGTTTGAACTCTTGGTCGACTTGAACATCGAGCCCAACACTAGTGTCACGTACCTAAGTGGAGACTGATTGTTGAAGAGGCTTCCTTTGTAGCTCATGTCCCTCAACCTTGAGGATGGGAACAGAGGAGGAGTGACAGGGAGCTGCACGAGTGCCAAGGATGTAGTAGACACTGTGCCAAGTAGAAAGTCCAGGATCTGGAATGGAGGCACGTCAGGCAAAGCTGAGGTCAAACCGGGCATGCAGCAGGGTACCGAAACAGAAGACAGAAGCGAGATCCAAAGGAAGCCAAGGGTCAAAGCAAGCCGAGCAGCGAAGTACCAAAACAAGAGGCAGAAGGAAGACCAATAAACAGGGCATAGTCAGGAGGCAGGCAGCAGTCAAGAATGGTCAGATCCGCGTCAAACACAGAAAGCAGGCTGGTTTATATAGGCCAATCCATTAGCAGGAGAAGCGTCACTTCCTGTTCGCCTTACATGTGCACGTTTTCGTGCGTAAGTTCGTTGCGCGTGTGCGCACTAGTGCACGTTTTCCAGTTACCTGGAAAACAGGGCCATGCGCCTGCACAGAGATGCTTGGTGCCTTACAACTAGTTTGAATGTCAATCCCTAGGGTGGTTTGGATTGTAACCAAAATCAATGGTAGTGTATGTATCAGAACTCAGCAAACAAGAAAAGAAGGTAATAATTATTGAATGTGTCGATTATTATATTATGGAAATGGGCATGTTGATAATAGGGAAATGTATATATTGACACTAGGTGCAACTAGGTAACTTAAGGTAAAAATTTACAAAATTAGAAAGCCTTGAAATTCTCTTTCAAACCATCGGGGAGTAGAGTGTTTAATTAACAAATCCACAAAGTCTGTTTCTTAGATAACTTAATAAATGAAAACAGAGGAAACACTGTCCAGCAGCTGCAGAGCAGAGAGACACAGATTAGGTGCTGGCCAGAGAGCGCATCCTCGCTCTGCTTCAAACCTTTGTAACAAATTAATTGCTGCACACTGAAGAATCACCACTTAAAACCAGCTTTATTCAGATCCGGCCATGCCACACAGTCCCTGCATTCCACACCCTCTAACGCATTTCACCCAGGAACAGGCTTAATCATAATCTCTATTTGATCTGTTGACTATTGTAATTGGAACAGAAAATGTTGGAAAATTCAATTCTGCTCCACAACAGGAAGTGAAAGGAAATTTCCGCAACAAGATACAGACAAAAAAAATATTCTGATGGGGTTTTTGCTCTTCCCTACCCTATCCTAAATTGAAATAAAAGTGTTGGGTATACACTTAAATGCTGCTGATCCATGCAGGCCCCTTGAGTGCAGTTCAATTTTCTTAGTTGTGGTACACTCTCATCTGTGTTTGTTTCAGCAAATAGAATGATCAAATTATTCCGTATATATAATATTACAGCAGAAACACCATATAAAGAAAGGGAACCACCATCCCAGGTTAAACTAACCATTTAATAATGCTTATAGGGACGTTCAATGGTACCTGAAATATATTTAAACAGATATATGTGTATGAGAAACAATTTTACCAAAAAAGTGTTGCATGATTTTATGTTTATACAATCAATATTTCAACCTTAACCGTCACCGATAACGTATATTAGGCATTAGTCATATTACTGAGATGTGCCATGGTGCATGTGCAGTTCAGCATTGTCCTTCACCCCCTTTAATTTCCAAGCTCCCTGCAATATTATTGATGAAAATTACTAAAGGCAAATAGGCTGTGAATTGTTATCACATTCACTAAGCTAGGGGAAAGTTCCCTTGCAAAGTGAACAGCCTATTTGCCTTTAGTAAATCAACCCCAAAATTTCAAACTGTAGATGAAATGCTTCTAGCTGGGAAAGGAAGCAACTCCTTTGAAAATAGGTAAGGGATACTACATGTATGGTAAAGATAACATAAAGGATACATATAGACTTTTGTTCAGAAAAACAACACTGTTTAGGTATGATGGAACAGGTTGCATCCTTGGTGGATGACTATTACTGTACTGTAAGAGTACACGGAAACGGCTACCTGTGACACTGTTGGAGAGGTTATGCTCATTTTCTACCATACTGGTAAGACAGAAAGAGGGGGCTAATGTCCCCGGTGGCTATAGAAAAAGCAATACAACAGGAGAGAGGTTGTAACTCTATCACTTTGTGCAAAGCTAAAAAAAAACAAACACAATTTCAGTTGGAGATGTGCTTTAACTGTAATCAGTGTCATTAAAGAAGATAGGAAATGAAATGCCTTTTACCTAAGTTATAAAATGCTTGCGAAGATGTATAGTCCTGAAGGAAACCTTAGAGGCATGCTTTGCTTTCCTTATACTATAGCTTAAAGATAAGCCCGCTTTATCTAAAAATAATCACAATTACAGAGGTAAAATGTTTTACTTATAAAGGAGAATTTTATACTGTCTTGCAGTAGTGAGGAAAGGATTACAGGCCAGTGTGTCATAATGGCACAATTCCCCAGTTATAGGCAGGGCTGGCATTCATGTTTATTGCAGATGGCAATGCTTATTTACTGAGCTGGCGGACAGCCAGGAGTATCCCAAGAGGATTTGTCTATCATTTCCCCTGTAAGCAACATACACAGCCCTAGACTAAATTGTGTCCATAGGTCAATGTAGACAAGAGACTATCTGACTGACTGCAGAAAAATGAGATAATATTTCTAGAACAGAAAACAGCAAATTATTCACCAAGTGCATGGTCTGTGTTTATATTCATGGTGGAAGTCATCTTTTAAAATGTTAAGATAAGTGACCTAAACTTGTCATTGCTGTCCTATATTCCTCTAACTTAGTGTGAACACGAGCAGAGCTAATATCAATTAAATCTGAACTCCAAGCAAACAACTATAAACACGATTAAAATACATTAACGGGAGCTGTTTTACCTTACAAATTTCTCTCTTCAGTTTTGAGTATTAGACAGCACCAGCCTTCTCTCTGCTGCAGTTAAGCAAAAAAGGTGGGTATACTCCCTACCCACTTGTCCGTTCTAAGACAGTAAAAGGGAAGTGGCAGTTCACCCTCTGCTCTCTCCTTCTGTTTGCATGTTTGTTATCAGCAAGTGTACATGCAACACAACTGATTGGCTCCTAGTGCTGACCTGCACCTCCCAGTTTAAGTTCTTCTGTAAAGGGAATTACAAGAAGCTTATATATAGAAGCTGAGTTACTTCCACTAGACTTAAAAATACATTTAACCATTTTAGATTAATACAAAACTACATTATTAGTGTTTTTATATATCTGCTTGAAGTTTAGCTTTAATGTAGAAATGTGCTAAGCATTATATGTATTTAAAATGGTTAGTATTATATGGTTTCCCAGTATTAGAGCCATGAAGGCATCATCTGTTTTATCATTAGAGTGATCTACAGCAGGATATTTACTGCTATCTGATATGCTATCAGAGACCTTTTTTCCAAACCCTGCTCTGTACTATACATCAGTGTTTCTCAAACTATAGGACATGTACTACGTGTAGTCATACCATAGAAGAAAGACAGACTTTTGAGGTATCCAACAACACTTCAAATATATACAAACATAAAACATGTATTTAGAATTCAATATATAACACACCATTAAAAATAACTTTTTGATACATTTCTATATGCTTATGTCCTTTATAAATAAGCTAAAATATCTAATTCCCCATATACAGCACTTATTCCTTGTTATCTTATCCACTTTAAATTTTCCAAAAAGTTAATTTAGTCTCCTTTTTTTGTTTTTCAGCCATATGGACAGAATAGGAAGGCAACTGTAAAGTGGATAAGATAACAAGTAATAATTGCTGTATAAAGGAAATTAGATATTTGAGGATATTTGGAGAGGACATAAGTATGTAGGAATGCGTCAGAAAGTTGTTTTTAATCATGTGTTTTATAGCGAAGTCTAATTACATTTTGTACTCAGACATTGCAAAGGTTGTTAAGGTGTTACATGATTTAACTGAGAAGCATGTCTATAAATGTATTCTTTTAATTTGGCTTCTTAGTGATGAGTTTCTTCTACACTTTCCCCTACAGGTTATAATGTCATTATGAACAATGGCCCAGCTGTACTACAAAAAGGTGAATTACTCACCCTACAGAGATCGGATTCCTCTGCAGATTGTGCGGGCAGAGGCGGAGTTGTCACTGGAAGAAAAGGCCTACCTCATTGCTGTGGAGAAGGGAGATTATGCCAGCGTCAAGCATGCTCTGGAGGAAGCCGAAATCTACTACAATATCAACATCAACTGCATGGATCCACTTGGCCGCAGTGCTCTTCTCATAGCCATAGAGAACGAGAACTTGGAAATCATGGAGCTTTTGCTCAGCCACACTGTATATGTGGGAGATGCTCTGTTGTATGCAATAAGGAAGGAAGTGGTGGGAGCTGTGGAACTACTTTTAAGTTACAGACGACCGAGTGGAGAAAAACAGGTGGGTGAAAATAAAAAGTTGCTAACAATGCAGATAGGATAAATATATAGAATACAGTTAATTTGACTTGAAAAAAAACTTCTAAAAATATAGAATATAAATATATATGGGTCTATTCACTAAGCTGCCGAAGGATCAAGCCGTAGCTTCGGCTGATCCTTCTGCTAGCTTCAGCCCCAGGACCCCTTCGGTTCAGTAGAACCAAAGGGCTGCTGTACGGGCTATCCACTATAGCCCGTACAGCTGCCGAAGTCGTACAGCTTCGGCTCGACTGAGCCGAGGTGAAAGACGAAACTGGCCGGCCAACAGCCTGCTACTGATTGCTGGGCATTGCCAGCCTTCATCTCACGGCTGGATCCGGCCACTTGCAGACAGATCAGCGTCCCTGGTTACCATGTAACCAGGGACGCTGATCTCCAGATAGCCCAACTCTCCCGGACGCTCCGGGAGTCTCCAGCTATTAGATAAGCAATAGGAATCTGGCTATGCATTCCTATGGTGTTTTTCTTTCTTTTTTTTTTATTCTGAGGGCAGCAGAACCGCCCTGCCAATAGAAAACAGTTGGGCGGAGCTAGCTGACACTGCTAGCTCCGCCCAATCGGTTTCTATTTTATTTTTTCTACTTTTTTTAACTGTTTTTCTATTCTGCTCGGTACCACAGAGGTACCGAGCAAAATAACCGAGTAGAATGCCGCTCTAGGGCATTCGGCTATTCACTCACTGCTGTTTGACATTTATGAGAATAGACCGAACAGCAGCGAGTAGCCTGTCGGAGGTTCGGCTTAGCCGATCCAGATGTTGGATTGGCTAAGTCAAACTCCTTCTGCTGAGCATGTTCGGCCGACCCGAAGCCACCCGATGTATGGCTGATCTCAGCCGATATACGGCTGGAATCAGCCGTACAAGCCTGAAGTGAATAGCCGAAAAGCGTTTGGCTCACTTCGCTCCGGGTCGGTTAGTTACTCGGCTGCCTCCGGCAGCTTAGTGATTAGACCCTATAATGTTTCACAATCAGAATTCTGAGACTGAAAGTCAGAATTCTGAGATTAAAAGTCAAAATTGTGAGTCTCAAAGTCATAGTTCTACAATTAAAGTCAGAATTCTGAAATTACAAGTTAGAATTTTGTGAGTTTTAAATTAAAAATTCAGAATTTTTACTTTTCAATCTTAGAAATCTGACTTTCCATCACATCATTCTGATTTTTAATTTCGGAACATTGACTTTTGATTATAGCATTATGGCTTTTAATCTTAGAATTCTGACTTTAAGGGGTTGATTTACTAACCTTATAAACACACCATGAATGTGTATACACCTCTGTAGTGTGTTCCCTCCCAGCATGATCTATGGGAGGAATCGAAACACCTTTGTAGTGTGTACACACCCAGCAGGTGTGTTGTGCAAAGCCCTGCAATGAATTGCAAGGTAATGTGGTGTAAATTAGCTCTATGTTATGTTGCTTGCGTTGATGAATGCAGGAATGTAAATGCATTAGCTAACCATTTTTGTCTAAACTGTGAAGCAGCATTATATATGCATCATGTGCATGATTATATATTCTCTCACATTACCATATCCTTTCAGCAGTTGAATTAACTAGAGATGGATGTTGCTTTCTGTAAACCATGTGCACAAGAAAATTATAACATGTCCCTCTATACCCAGGATATTTTACAGCAGCTCTGAAGCAATAAGTGAGCAGTGGGGAGGCATGGGGAAGGTAAATGTAAGTGGCTAGAGGGGGTGCCATACAATTTTCTTTTAGTTTGCCTGCTGGTGCTCAGAAGGATTACGGCTACTCATTTACCTTACACTATGCTACCTAAATATATATTACCACTTGCCAAGCACTGAAGGATAGTTCACTTTGTAAACTATAGGCTATATATGCTATTGTTTGCATTGACTGCCCAGTAGTGTCAGCCTCTAATTTACCAAGATTTATATGACTGATTTTTACAGTTATTTTCAAATACAGTATTTCATTGTTTAAACAACTAAATGTTAGTTCTGTTCTGAAATATCAGGGTTCTATGGTCACAATGAAATATAAGTTAAAAAACTGGGGCTAAAACAAACATATGACTGTGCAAGCACATGCTGGAAACATATTTGTCCTAATGACCATTGTTATGGGTACAGAAAGGGAAGGGAATAACAACATTGTATGATTGTCACTGGTACAGGAGGTGTGGGGAAATTTTCCAACGGAGACTCCTGGTCCAGTGACAATTATCTAAGAGGGGAATTACCTCTCATTTTCTGTTTTGTATATAGGACAGAAGGGGAAATTAAATCTAGCTCTTTCATCAAGCGCTAGGCCCTGCAGAGATATCATTCTGTCCAAATGCCATGTTGCAGCATCTGGCGCTTGAAGGTCTTTGACCCTGACATAGCTGAACAAATATGTAGAGTGGGGAAAGTGTGTGAAAATGAAATACGCTGTATTATCCTCTTATTATCATTAGTATCCTTTTTAAAAGTTATACTTTTGTAAGTGATGTATTGTTTAGCTTGAAAACGACTTGGAATTTAGAATCTCCCATTAATTTATTACTATGCAAATCATTTGCATGTTAAAATAATATAACTCCACCTTGTATAATTCTTTAAAATATATTTCAAACCCCAAGTTCTAAAACTAATTATATTCTTGGGTGCTTCCACTATAATAGCTGATGTTGAGCAATAATTCCAAGTTAGGGACCCCAAACAAGTACCGGTAGAAACACATTGTTCATGCTTACAGGGCTAAAGAGAACATATAAAAAAGCCAACACTTTTATGTCCTTTTATTCTAAAATTGCCAAGATGCAGCTTAAAAATCTATAAATAAATCAGAGCATTCCCTAGCGAGGCCCTTTCTATTAGGTTTATTTACATATTTCTCATGCCATAGTGTAAAGCAATGCTAATTAATATCCGTAGATTGCATTAAAACTACTTTAATGAATGTTCTTGGATTGCATTGCAGTAGAGTCCACAGAGACTCCCTCCGCAGGGATAATTTAGGAGCTAAGTCATTAAATTATACCTACCTTCAATGAGATAAATAAATTAGTTATTGAAGGAGAAACTGATTGGTTATGACGTGTTATTTTTCTATTGCTCATGATAAGATTTAGAGCTGCTGATGATGTTTCTTTTATGTAGCCTACAAAACAAATCAAGAACAATCTTTGTACACCAATATAAATGATCAGAAACACCCAACATGTAGTGGCTGATACATGGAAAGTGTGGTAGCATTTAGGTTTCCTGTTGCAGATAATAACCAGCCATGTTACATTTACTAAAACATTTTTTAGAGATGACAACGGAAAGCTGGTTGGCTGGAATGGGCAACAAGATATTTTACCTATAGCAAACTTGTCATATATCAGCCCCTTTGCGGATCATTTTGACTGCACCAAACGGTTAAAAACCTGAAGATAAAACCTGTTGGATTACTGCACTGTACTCCTCATCATTGATATTTTACCTGTTCTATTCAAATGTAGTATTGTAGTATCATAAATCTTAAAAACCATTAGAAGTAAAGAAATAGATAGTCAGATAGACTGATAGAGCTGTAAGACACACCCCTTCTACAATAATAACCAGTTTGAGGACACTTGTGCTGAGAGGTGTGGCTGTTACTCAGCTCTGCCAGCATGGAGCCCTGGAGTGGGAGAGCAAGAGGCAGCTTTTTTTTACTGAGTGAAAAAAATGCATTTTCCAGCATTTCCGAGTTAAAAGCCATCACAATTGCTGGTGTACAAAACTATATGATAAAGAAAGATAAAAAGGTGTGAAATGTTAAAGAAGCTTAAAATAAAGCTTGTCACAAAATAAATATATAGGTTGCTATTACTGCCTTCCTTCTAAAATTGCCAGTTACCTGATTGCATCATATATTTAGAAATTATGTACAGGACATTGTAATTTTTCATCACATGAATATGAATGAGAAAATATAACTTCTAATAACTGATGGCAGTGGGCAAGGAGCAAGGGGTCTCTTCATTTACATATTCAAAAGCCTCTCATATCACTATTATTAGTTTTCCTTTTTTCTTCCTTTATTGTTTTACCACACAGCTTGTACTTCCTTTTTCGGCTTCTCATATACAATATTCTTAATACCATCTTAGGGACTTCATGATATGTCTGACTCAAAATCTGTCCACGTTGACACTTCATACATGAGTCCCCTTGTGTAAAGTAGAGTAGCTGCTCAATACTTTGTACCATCTGCTATTCATATCTTATTTGCTGCTAAAGTGGCACAGCGGTTTTACTGAGAATAGAGTCCAGTGCAGACTGTAAGAAATAAACACTGTCAATTAACATGTGTCATATGTACTTGATATGCACATACTAAGGCATATGACCGAATAGCAGCACAATATATTTGTAGAATTGACAGACACAGATGAGTTAATTATCTGATACTACATGTTTCTCAAAAGCAATTAACTGTACTGTGCATAAGATTAATATTTATCGCTTTTAGCTATCATTACTATTGTGAGCATCTGGTATGCAAAAATATGCAACTTGTAGTGAGTGAATGTGCTATCACATGGGAAGAGCTTGTACGTGTAGCACTTCCAGCCTTATGGGATGTTCATTATGGTCTAAAACTCATGCACAACTGTTCATAAGCTGCGTGATTGACAGCTGGCTCTGCCTATCTAGAGGCAGAGCCAGCTGTACCCACCCCCTTCCCCGTCCATTCCGCCAGTCAGCGCTGGCGGATCGGCGTGGATTCCCCCCTCCCCTGTCACGGCAGAGAGACGTGACAGGATCGAGAGGCTAGCGAACGCCGGTATGTGTTCGCTCTACTCCCAATCTACTGAGCCGACCCGTGACAGTCTCATTGTCACAGGTCGGCTAGAACTATGAGGTGAGTGAAAAGCACTCACCTCATAGTTCTCCTTTAATTGAAAAATAGAACACATTTTAGGGATATCAGAGAGAAGTGAGGCTTTTCACCTGAGTGTTCTGTAAATAAAGT